CACACACACACACACACACACACACACACACACACACAAACACCACACCACACCACACCACACACACTCGGCTACTCGGCTATTCCTAGGGACATTACCTCTTCCTTAACGTTGCAATGAATCTACAGAGCCTAAGAATTCCTGTGAGGTTCCTCTGGGTTCCTCAGCCCTGCTCTGAGAAACACCTTGCCCCAGCTCCAGGTTTTAGGAACTCAAAGAGCTCTGGTTTGGGCAGTCTTATTATGACTTGCCCTCTGAGCTCAAGTTTCTTCTCTTTCCCCCTCCTCCACACACACTGTCCCCTTTTCTTTCCCTTGCTGTTTTGGTGCTGTTCTGATGTTCAGCCCAGCCCCTTAGCTCTAAGATTCCAGTACTGCCTTGAGCCTCATCTTTCACCAGAACACTGCTCACCTCAAACATGATCATGAGACCAGGGTTAACTATGCCAGGGGCATGTGAGATTCCTAGGCTTGTCCTCAGCCATCCTTCTGCCACAGGGTTCCTTCTCATTCAACCCCCTTTCTTCTCATAACTATATACCTGGATGGGCATGAGGTGGAGGTGAGAAAGAGAGGGAGAAGCCAGAGTTTGAGAAGGCAAATGTGGGTAGAGACCAGACTCCATGGGTATTTGGGAGATAAGATGAGGTCCCACAAGATCCTTCAGCAGAGGCGGTCAAGCAGGCCCCCAACCAGAATTTTCTCTAGTTCCATTTCTAACTCTTGGGCTAGGGACTGAGCAGGACACCAGGCTTTGCACTGCAGTCTGTCCTTCAGCTCCTTCCCCTCACCTCCACCTCTCAGTTACTGCTAAAGCCACAGTCTGTCTGTCCCAGGAATGCTGTGATCTCCTTCTTTGTACCATGACTCGAATGGCCTCCGTATTTGTGGGATCTTGCTTGAGGGGCTGTTCAGGTCTCACCTGGCCATGGGAGGCACAGGGAGGGATAATCTGGGACTGAGCTCCCTGGAAAAGCTGCCCTTCTATTGGAAGGGGCTTCCTTCCCCATTTGCAGGGGGCCAACCACTTGCTCTGGGCAGCTTGAAATGTCTGTTGTCCCCTTTGTCCTGCCATGTCCATTCTTGTGTGTCTTCTCGTCTCTGCTCCTGTGGTGTGGGTCAGTCCTTGGTGGGGTGGGGCCCAGGGTTGCAGGGTTCCAGCATAAGGGATAAAGAGGGATGCAGGTGGTCAGCCCTGGGTCTCTTCTTACCTGTGAGTATACAGAGCTGAAGTGATAGCTCAGAGACACCCCACCTAGGAGCTACCACTGCAGCCTCAGGGTGGTCTTGGGGTCCTTCTTTTCTGTCCCCCTTTTCTGGGTCATCTCTCAGGCTACAATGGCTGCCTTGGAATAGTGCTAGGCCTCGAGGTAGGGAGAGGGGCAGTATTGGGGACAGAATTGATGGGGCAAGATGGGGGATTGAAGAGAATCCAGCTGCGGGGCTGGCAGCCAGGACCCAGAGTGGAGTCCATACTGCCCAAGTAGGTAAGGAAGACCTGAGGAGAAATGAGATTACGGTGGGTGCCAGGCATGGGCGTTCTTTTCTGTGTTGTTCATATCCCCTCTCCCCTCTCTCTACTAATCATGTCTTTCTCTCTCTCTCTCTTGTTTTGTTGAACGAGTGTGGTGGTTTCTATGACTGTGTCTCTCACAGCTTGTCCCCCTTTAGCCTGAGATGTTTTTCCCCAGTCCCAGCTGAGCAGACCCCTTTGGGGCAAACCCAAGGCAATGCCCAGCCCAACTAACCCCTCTCCAGTCCTGCGTGCGCCTGGTGGTGCCCGCTGCTGGTGTGAACAGTAAGTACATCAGAAGTGTATGGAGATGGCAGATGGCAGAAAAGCACGCCTACTGACAGAGGGCCTGGTCATGTGGATTCTCCTTGCTCCAAAGTTTTAAAAAAATGACCCTGTCACAGACGTTCATCTCAGTTCATTTCAAAGCCTGGAAACCATCTCTGAGACGCTGCCCATGCTGTCATTTCATCATCGCAGGCCTGTGGGGTAGTGGGGTCCTGGGGTCCTGGGCCAGGGGAGGCAGGCCTAGGTCTCTGAAAGCAAGAGGGAACCTAGGCTGCTAGCTGCCCTTTCATCTCAGCAGAGAAGAGCTGGTCAGTGGGGACTCAGTGATCTTGCAACCCTGGCTTTTCTCATGGTTCCTCAGGTTTGAACAATTGGCCCTCTTTGGTTATCTCCTCTTCTGGCTATCCGTACTGAAGTTTGGGACAGGAAGTGAATGGCTCAGTGGCTACAAACATCTTCAACTGCAGATAAAACACCAGCCACTCAGCCATAGATCCCCTTTCAAATGCTGAGGCTGAAAGAAAAAGCAGGCTCCAGGGGCTTTCTGGAAACTGCCCATCATCTTATCCCATAGATGCAGAATGGCCGCTCCTTGCCCCTCCCCACCTCTGCCCAGGCTGCACTGTCTCTATGGAGGCAGAGGCAGCAGCGGTAGAAAGGAGCAGTGACTATTTGATTGACCCTTTTCTGGACCAGAAGAGCAGGCTGTGGACATCCACTCAAGAGCATCTTTGCCAGCTGGAGAAGATGCACGTAGAAGCATTAATGTTCCCCTAGAGAAAAAGTCATTCGAGGCACATGGACCCCAGCTTCCAACCCCCCTTCCTCACCATACCACATCCCCTGTCTCCCCAGCATTCTCCTTCTAGCCCACAGACCCTCCATGAGGGACACAAGAGCCAAATGGAATGTAAGGGAGGATATACACGTTCGTAGGCACATGTGTGTGCCCACAGACACACCCCATATGCTAGGCAGCCCCAGCTTGTCACATGGTGCCAGAGTTTCCCTAGGAACTGGCCTTTCTGGTTCAGAGTCTATCAGGAGTGAAGGCCTGGGATCTTCAAGGAATGCACTGTATGTGAAATGCCTTGCCGTCTTGTATGACAGACATTTTTTAAGTTCCAAAATTATGATGGGAAACTTTTTTTGGATTTGCTTTATGAATAAACCTGATTGGTCCATTTCTCTCTTGACTGACTGCCTCTTTGTAGTGACATGATGTACACAGGTGGTGATCCCACTCACGTGCACACCATGTGTATGCAATTAGGAAAGGATCACTCCTGCGTGTAGTTACATGATGTGAGTAGGATCACGGGAGAGGGTCAAGTCCAGTGGGAATTGCCCCTAGCTTTCTTTCAGAGAGCCTCCCTTGACACATTCCCCAGGTTGGTTTGCTTTCCTTCCCAGAGGGCCCCTATAGGTGCAGCATTTTAGTGGGTTTCATCCTAGCAGAGTCCCCAAGAGGGACAGAGATGGGAAACAAAGGTCAGTCAGAGTCATCTCTGCCAAGTGCTGAAGGCCTTCAAATCTTTGCTCTTGAAGCTGGGAGGGCCAGGGTGCTTGGCTGTGGCCACATTTTGCCCTTCACCATACATGTCCCCCCCCAGACCTCCTCCCAGGTTCCTCCTTAGGCTACTCCAGAAGCCAAGCCTCAATCCCCCCCCCCAGGCCATCAGCATCTGTCTCCTGCACATCCATTTGCTCTGCTTTGCCAGGGATGCTGGCAGAAGGGGCAGGAATGGGAGCCCCTCCCTCAGCCCTGTCCAGCTATCACAGCCTCAGGCATACATGTATATCTTTGTTGTGCAAGATGACCAGGTCCCCTGGAGTGGTCTGTGGAGACACTGCTAGATGTGTTGGGCAGCAGTGTAGGTCTGTGTGGGGACAGAGCAGATGGAGTGATCTAATTGGGTCTATGAGGGTGCACAGGGAACTAATCTGCATGGATGATGGGGTAGACCAATCAGGTTGGGTCCTTAGAGGGGTGCTGAAATGTGTAACCAGGCCTGGTCTGTATGGGAATGGGAAATTGAAGGTACCCAGTTGGGTCTTTGTAGAGACAGTATAAGTGTGGCCAGCTCTTGTCTGTGTGTAGGATGAAGTTTCAGAGGGACCTGTGAACAGGTGTGATCAGGCTCAGCCTTGCAGAGGCTGAGGGACCTGACTGTGTACCTGTGTGGACAGTGTAGAGGTGTGATCTGGCTCAGTCTGTGTAGAGGACAGTCTCAGAGGGACCTGATTGGGTTCCTGTAAGGACAGATCTAAGGTGTGGCCAGTCTAGTTTCCATGGGGCACAGCATGGTAAAATAGGTTTTGTGTGGGGATAGTGTAAAATATGTGTCCAGGCAAGTCTGTAGAGGGGATGAGGAATCTGTGGGACCAGAGTGTGTCCCTGTGGGGATAGGACAGCAGGTGTGAGCAGGCCTAGTCTGTATGGGATAAAGTTATAGAGGCACCAGATTTGGTCCTTGTGGGGACAGAGAAGAAGGCTAGGCATCTGAATGGCCAGGCTGGGTCAGAGTGGAGTGGTGAGAGCAAGCTGAGTGATCAGACTTGGGGATACAGCAGGAACCAAATGGTGGAATGGGATCTGCATGGGGTGGGGGAAGGGAAGGGGTCAAATGGGGTCCAGCTGGGCCTAGGTCTGAATGTTGCCCGGAGTCAGCCAGGTGCCTGTTAGAAGTAGAGGGGTCTGAAAGGCTACCTTTCTGGACGGGGGCCTTCCAGAATGTCTGTCTGTCTTCTCCCTGAGTTGTGTGTCTGGCCCTTTCCCCATGAACACATCACATCACTCTGTCTCATTAACCCTGCCTTGGGCCCTGGGCCTGGCCCCCAGCACCACAGGCTAGGTTCATCACCAATTCATCTTTTTGCAAACTTTGAGCAAACCTAGGAGTCTCTCCTTCCCTCCCTGCATTGTCAGCAGCCCACCCCAGCCTTGCACCCGCCTCCACTTTTCCATCCTCAGGAACTGGAAGCCCTTTGTCAAATGCCTTACCTTTGGCCTGTCACCCCCTCTCACTAAACAGTTTTCAGTGTCTCAATAGCTTCTGCTTATATGTTTGAAGATTCCAAACTGAATGGGGAGGTGGCGAAGGCCGCGCTGGCGAACGAAGACTGCCCCCACATAGACCAGGCCCTCACTCCCGAAGAGGGCCTGCCCTTTACCCGCTCTGGCACCCGCGAGAGATACGGACCCTGCTTCCTCTTATCAACCGGGGAGTACGCGTGCCCACCTGGTGGAGGAATGAGAAAGGGTATGTAGAGGAAGCTGGAGCTCTCTGCATTGGCTGGGCCTGCCTTGAGCTCCTGCAGATGGGTGGGCAGGGCGGTGGGCAAGGGGCGCTGAGGGGTAGGCAGGCACACTGAGGAGGCAAGGATAGAGGGAGTCCCCCAAGGTTGATTTCTAGAGGTCAGAGTCCTTTCCCCAATGGGGATGCCAAGTTGACAGAGAGAGGCTGAGGTCCAGGCAGCTGTAGGTTGGTATTCACATAAATGGTAGAAAGGGGCTTGGCCCAGGGTGGATAACCATGGGCTGTAAAC